AACATTGATAGGGGCCCCAAAATCCTAAACATTATCAAATCCCCCTAACGGCCAACATGATAGAATTCAGAAAAAGGGGGTCGAAACTAGAAGTTAATAACCAGTACCACTATCCTAAAATCTCCCTCTCAACAAGCGGACCGTCCGTCCCGATTTTCGGTCCTCGTACCAAAACTCACCTGGTCTCATACCCCTCTCTGCTAGGGTAACAGGGCACCACAACCCTCCCCAGTACCGACCAACCTAGTTCTGACGGACAGGAAGTGCCTTCCCCCCTCAACAATTCCTTTAGCGGCAAACCCCTAAACAGGTTACAGGGTCCAAACCCCAGCGTCAACTTCGTTGGACGATCTGGTTACGCCTTCCACCCTCGGCGTAACTCCATAGACCTCAAGCTCCCCCTGGGTCACAGAGCAAAGCTCCAGCACCGGCCTATGTCGTCCCAGCATCGTCCTCCTGACCTACTCACCTTAACCGACATCTTCCGTCTATTGAGRGTCCCCTTTCTTCTTTCCATCCCCCCATTCTAGTTCCGCCCCCGACAAGCTTGGAGGCAATCATCAACAGAAAAAGCACCACAAAAGATTAAGATGTATAGCCGTAGATATTTCCATCGAAAATCAAGAACAAAATTTAAGAATCTATCTGGAACGTCTTTTTGAGATTTGAAATTTGAAGATGAGATCACATAGTAATCAAAGGAATTTAGGTCATGAATTTGGCATCCAATTCAGAAGGTCAGTCGCAGACACAATTTGATAGGTTTCGAAATTTCACAAAGAGGAACAAAATAGGAAGTTGATTCTGATGTCCTCACGGACTTCCGACTCTAATTTCTAGAACCCTAGTTCAGGAAATCGCTCAGAGCGTAAATCAGGAGATGCTCAACGGAAAAAAGGGAAAGTCACTCAGACAGTAATCAGGAGATTCTAAACCAAAAACGAATCACAATCAAGATAGTAAATGAGAAATTAAAAAAACAAACTACCAATCAAAATCTGCTAGAAAATATGAATCAAGAATATGACACGTAAAATCAGAGATTGAAATTTTCAGAGATCAGAACTGGAATTGGAAACTTAGAACACGAATCGAAGTAATCCAGTTTGGTGACTACAACAGAAACCATTATACCTCATATGATCGGCGAGAGGGTCTATCCAAGAAAAGCTAGCTCAGAATCAACCACAGCGCCCTCGCACTCCGGATGCCCTTGTGACGAAGACGCAGCTGCTGCCGATACCGCTTCGCCCTTCTTCAAAAAATGCAGACTCGATGTCGCCTCCAATCCTCCTCCGACTCCACGTGAGGACGTGCTCCTCCCTTTCAGCCTGCATCAACCAACCATCCCCCACGAAACTACGCAGGCAGAGAAGCAAAGGCAACCCCTATGCCAAGAATCTCATGAAGATCCGCCCCCTTTCAAAGACAGTCTTCCCTTCATCCAGCGTGCTGGCCTGCAGCATCACTAGACGAAGCGTGAAGCCGAAGATGGCACCCCTGTGCTTTCAAAACGCAGGCCACACCAAGTCTCGCCACGTCATCTCTACCCTCCCACTGTCAAGTCTCACACTCCACAGCCCCCACCCGCCCACCGCGTCGCATGACTCTCCGTTGACTCCTGCGGTGCACAGCGTCCGGGCCCGCCCACCGCGTCGCGTGACTCTCCGTTGACTCCTGCGTCACGCCGCGTCCACTCCGACGGTGCTCGAACGGGGGCGCAGCGCTCCCGGTCGCGCTGCACCCCCCCGTAAGCGGATGGCTCTGTTGACAGTGACTCCCATCTCTTCTTCTTCTTCTTCTTCTTCTTCTTCTTCTTCTTCTTTGTTTTTTTTTGTTTTGTTTTTTTTGCGTGTCACCCTGCTGGTCTGAGCCACCAGTACTTTTCCCAGCCATACCCACCCCTTGCAGACTCTATACTCTTTTACCATGTCATATCCTATAACCCACCTTCCTTTTTTTTTTTCTTTTTTTTTTTTTGTTGTTGTTGTTGTTGAGAAAAGCCCATTTGCAAACCCTCTATCCCCGTGTGGTGAGAGAACCACCAGGATTGAGGGTTTGGGCATCAGGCTGCTCCAGCTATTGGTGGGGAGCTGCACCTGATGGAAACCGGGTCCAGCGTCCCTTAGATACAACATGATGATACTGTTTATTGGTGTTCCTCCGTATCCGGGGCTGTGGCCTCTTCATATTACTATTCCTGGGATGGAGCTCCGCTTTTCCCATAGAGCTGCAAATGTTCCCCTTCCCATTCTGGAGCTCACCCTTTCCCAGTGGCCCAGCTCTATTCCCTGGAGAATGCTGAATGTTATGTCCTTTGCCTCCTATCCAGTATCTCTCTGTCCCCCTTTAGCCCAGCCCATTCCCAGCCTAATCCAGGTTAGTCCAGCGCTTCCCTATTATTCTGACAACTCCCCCCTGTCAGGTGCAACTTATAAGGTATAGCCCAGGGTGTTCACATCTTCTGACCTCTGTGGCTGTAACCTATTACTCTTCCTGTGTTGGAGCCCCGGTTTTCACATAGGGCTGCAAACGTCTCCCATCCCCTTGTATAGCCTACTGTTTTCCACTGGCCCAGCCCTGTTTCTGGAGATTGCTGAGTATTGTATCCTTTGCTTCCTATCCAGTATCTCTCTCTCCCCTTTTGCCCAACCCTTCCCTAGCCCTTTTCCAGGTAACTGAGGTAAGTGCAGCCTTTCCCTATCATTCTGACAACTCCCCCCTATTGGGTGACAGTGATTGAGTGCTAATGTGACCGATCTCTCCCGCAAACAGTCCAGCAGGTTTTACCCCTCCTCCCATTGGGTGACAGTGACTGACCGGTGCTCGTTCGTCCGCAGTCTGGTCTTCCACCCAATAAGTCTGAGATGCGTTGTCCCCTGTGACCTGTGCCCCCCTGGACTGGAGCTTTCCTGGCTGGAGGTAGAAGTGGTAACCAGTGATTGCCCGTGAACTGAGAGCTTTCGTGTCCCCTGTCCACAACTGTTCCTTCTCCTCCTTTTGTCTCTCCTGGTCTCCCTTTGTTGTCGCCTGTAGCTTCACCCACTCACTCTTCGTCGTTGGAGCACCTGTTGGCTTACAGGCTTGTAGTGCCCGTCCTGATGGAAAGGGGACGGGGACAAGGGAGGGAAGGGGTTATGAGGAGGATGATAAAGGAGGGGGGCGTAGCTGCGTATGGGGCAGAGAAGTGGGATAGTGGTTTAATGGTCCAGGTGTTCTCCTCCCTCCTCCAATTGTTCCATTTAATTTTTGAGTTGTGGATCTCTGCAATTGTTTTCCTGGGTCCCGGCCACTCCTCTGTGAATCGGGTCCTCACCTCATCTGTTTCCTGTTGCTTGACCTGAGGGGTGAGGATCAGATTTTCGTCCATCATCCTTATCTGGTGCTGGAGGTGGTCCCATGCTGCCTTTTTTTTTTTTTTTTTGAAACTCCCTTCTGGATGTTAGAGGTGCTGATACAAGCAGACACCTCTGGCACCTTTGGGAAGACTCCATCTATTGGTGGGGAGCAACACCTGCTGGAAAAAGGGTCCAGCGTCCCATTTACAATACAAAATTGTGTCTATGAGATTTGGAAATGCGACTGCGATGTGCAAGAAGGCTACTGCCTGCCAGCATTGATTGCCCTGGATAAACAGGGGATTGACTGAGCAAGCATACTAAAAATGATTGGGACTGATGTGAGACTAAGGCTCGGACCCCACTAGCCGGCGGCTGGAAGAGTTTTGGCATGGAAGGGCAATTGCGGACCCCATTGGGCCGCCAGATGCACCGCCGGCGGTATGCCAACGTCGTTTACAGACCCCACTGCCATTCTGGAAACACTGCTGGCCGTGTTTCTACACGACTGGCGGCTGGAAAATATCCGCCAGAAACCGGCCGTCCTTTTCCAAAACGTCCTCCAGACGGGTAGGGGCTTGAAAGTGCCGAAAAGTTTCCATCACTGCCGGCCGCGTCTGGTTCAGAAAACGGGCGTTGCGGACGTCGGGGCGGACCAGGCCGAAACGCAGCGGTTGAACGGCGTGGCGCACTTTTCGTCGAAACGGGCCGTACGCGGTCCCTTGAGATGGTCCACCGCCGTGGTCCCGCTGCATTTCGAAACGCGGGAGCGGCAAATTTGAATTCAAACGATGTTTGAACGGAAATTTCCACCGTGCCAACAAGTACTTGGGGCGGAGAGAAGGAATACAGGCCATTGCGCTCTCTGTCGATCACGTGGCCGCAGCTTTTGTCACGACCTTGCTGGTCTGCAGTTGTCTTCTTCGTTCGAGCACCGGGCGGAAGGTCGATCTGCCATGCGAGTACTCACAGGACTTGCACGTTTCGGACGTGTGGCTTCCGTCCAAGGTGCTTCCATGTCCCATGGTCGTCCTTTGTGGAGTCGTTGTTGGACGCATTCGGATGCCTCCACTGCGGTTCGGATGCTACTGCAGTTTTCTGTGTTCAGCTCGGGATGTGCAGCTGCGCGAGCCTCTTTCCGTGGCAGTGGTTGTGGTGACGAGGTTGTTCCAACGTCGTTGTCGTCGTTCACTCCGACGGCTGCCCCACAGAGAACCCCGTCCGCATCTTTCGTCGTCCATTCCCCGTGATCTCCCAGCCTGCAGCGCAGGTCCTCCGTTGTGTAATCGACAAGCGGATGTTGGCAGAAGTGCAGGAGAGCGTGTGCACGTCAACAGTGGACATGTGGTGATCAGAGACTGCACGGCGCCATCTGCACATGGACCTGGTGGGGGGTGTCGCTGCAGTTGTGTGAGGGAATCCTGTGGTTGTCGTCGTGGCGAACAGGCGTTGTGGCGGCCGCGTGGACGGTGTGTCGCTGCTCTTTGTGGGCGTAGCAGTCATTGTCGTCCTCGTCTTCGTGGTAGGGGTCTTGCTTTTGTCGTTAGTTGTCACGTTTGTTGCCATTGGCCTTCTCTGCAAGCGTCTGTAGTCATCCTCCGTACGGGTGGGGCCAAAGGTGCCACCTTTCATTATTGATTAGGCGGTGTGCTCCGGTGGCAGTTCGGTTATGGAGTCCACACGTTGGATGGGTGACGTCGAAGTTGGTTCCGATGGCAGTACTGACATGCACGACTGCCGTGTGCATGCACGGCCCCATTCTCGTGGGCAGGGGGTCCCGAGCATGCATTCCTTCGCCGCCGTGCGTCAATCAATGTCGGTTGTGCAACGTTCGTACTTCCCCTCACGTGCGCCTTCCCCGTCGTTGCCCTTCGATAGAGGGTGTGGTAGACAGTCTCCCGAGAGGTTGCATGCAGGTCGTCTGCGTGGTTGTCCACCGGCAGTGGACATGTGGGGCGATGACGGTTTCGCCGTTGATGATCACTCTTTCTCCGTCCAACAGCAGTGCGATTTGTATGCAGCGAGGGCATGCGCAGAAGGGACGAGCATGGGTGAAGGTTTTGGCATGCCGGCGCCGGGCGCACAGAACATGGACATGGGTGGCACACCTTGGTCTCCCCAATGCAGCCAGAGCACGGTGCGGTCGTTTGACATGCGGTGTTCTCCATCTCCTCAGTTGGGCGTTCACACGGACGGCTCGTGGAATCGGATGAACACGCGGCCGGTGTCTCCCGAGACTCGCATGGATTCACCGTACGACGAAGGCGCTGCCGTTTCCAGAGGAGCCGACGAAGACGGTCATGCAGAGCACGGAAGTGTTGTTCCAGTGATGGCAAGGTCGATGGCCGAGCAGGGTGATGCGCAGGGCCGGGGTGTGGCAGGCGGGGAGGGGAGCAGGCGGCCGGCGAATGCTCGACCGCCGGCTCAAAAGAAGCAAAGCGTGCCATGGATGTTGGACGAGCGAGTGAAGCTTGCATTCCTTATGGGTGAGGACGATGGCCTTATGACGGATGCTAACGGCCAACACCGATTCAAGCAGAGGAAAGAGCGGTATGCATGGGTGAACGATAGGATGAAGGACGCTGGCTTCAAACACCGGACCGCCGAAGACTGCCGCAAGAAGTGGTCCAATATGCTGCAGACGGCGAAGCTAATCGTCGAAAAGTGTCACGCGTCTGGACAATCGTCGTATTGGGATCTATCTGTGGAGGAATGAAAGGAGAAGAATCTCCCGCTTTCTTTTGAAAAACCGATGTGGGACGCTATGCAATGACAACTAAACCGGCCGTCGATGAGGTGTGACAACACGCTGGCTTCGGAGAACCTATCGGGGGATGGAACAGATCCACCACCGGCGGGAGGATCGGATGAAAGATGCGCGGAGGAGTCGGACAATTCTGCGAAAGTGAGGCGGACGGCCGTTGGGAAGGCGAGAGGGGAAGATGGCAGTAGCGGTGGCACGAGTATGGGGAGGGCCATGGAAGATTCTACACGCTCGTACTGTGATGGCCTGGACAAAGCGGCCACCTCCCTTGCAAAAGCCACCGCAGACGTGGGCACCCCAATTGCTGCTCGGATAGGGGATGTGGCCGACGCAATGCGGGGTGGGAACAGTGTTCTCGAGTTGCTAGTGGGGGTTCTAGCCCGCAGGGGAGCGAATGGAGGTCACTCCACCGAAGCAGATCGGGATACAGACCCTTCATCTCGGTGAGATACATATATATATATATATATATATATATAGATCTGTCCTCCGGCGGAAATCGAACAGGCCGTGCACATGTCCCCGCCGATTGCAGTCGACCGTCGAGAGTCTCATGCATGTATATATGTACATATATACATGCATGGGGCTCTCGACGGTCGACTGCCATTGTCGGGGACATGTGCACGGCCGTTCGATTTCTGCCGGAGGACAGAATCGTCAATCAGGATACGAATTAATGGGGGAAAAAAAAAAATCGGCAAAAGAAAAGGTGGGGATTGGGATTGTTCTTTGTGAGCACGGCCGCAAACGCCGATTGTGACAGCGCACCACCCCGGCGGGCCATCCCGAGGCACGTGTATAAAGAACGGGTTCGCGTCGGCAGTGATCACACTTTCCAGAGGCGAGGGAGTACCATGCCGACACGGACTGTCTCCGCTGGTGATGTTGGTTGTATAGCGGCGTGTGGAGGGTTTGGGGGTGCGCGGTCCACCGCATAGTGACCGTAGAATCGGGCGGCTCCATTTCGCATTAGCGAGAAGGGGAGGGATCTTGCGAGAGGCAAAGAGAGAGCGGAGGGAGGGGCACGCAAAGGGATGGATGTGCGTGTCTTCTGCCGTGGTCTCATCGACAACAGGGGGGTTATGGTCTACGAGATGATCCACCACCGGGACGGGTACCACACGAGGGACTTCGAGTTCACGATTGGCGTGACACGTCGCTCCATCCGTTTCTATGAAGTCGATGTCGATGGGGTCCCCGCTATGAAGATGGAGGTGGGGTTGGGATTCTTCGGAAACAACCTGGGACATGTGCTCATCTTCGTCACGAAGGTCGGGGATGTGATCCCCAACGAGTGGGGCGGCCATCCCATTGATCTGGCGGGGTAATGGCGAGTGCCACGGGCAGGTGCGCTGCAATCTCCCCCGGCTGCCAACGCCTGCAGAGAGAACAGGA